AAAAAAAAAAATTTTTTTTTACAAGGCGGGGGCGGGGCCGGGACCCCATTACCCGTCCCCAAACTTGCCCCGTTAAATTTTTTTTATTTTTTTTATTATGATTTAATAGAATTGGACCGAAGGGTAAATTGTTCTAAGTCTTGAAGGGGAATTGTTCTGTCATAGTGGAAATGGGATGGGGTTATATTAGAGGTGGGTTATGTGAAGAAGATATGATATTTTCCACGTTCGTTTTGTTTGGCTAATTCTTTTTCTTGTTTTTTGATTTTTTTTAAATTAAAGGGTATAATAATTTTTTGAAAGTAAATTTGATTTTTTACTGATCAAACTAACACTTTCCACTACATGAAAAAATCCAATCTACAACATTAATGACTCAAAATCTTACTTTTAAAGATTGGAGAGCCATTTCCACAATCGATAAAAGGTTTGAGAATCCAGCCCTAACTCTCTCTTAAAATTCTTGTCATGAAAATGTGATTAAAAAAAATCTATTTATTTAGTTAATTGTTTTGATTAATTGAATGTTATCAAATATCTATATTCATCTTCCACCCTAAAGTGAAGTGTAGTGCTCCAATCTTCGACGGGAAATGATACTTGTCCATTAGGGGGGCCATAAGGGTGTCCATTATGGACACCCCGATGTACTTGTGGCAGAGCTCATCTTCGACACTGACTCTACAATGGATGCATATTTAATGATGAGTAACGCTATTCATCCCCAGTCATTATGGACACCCCGATGTACTTGTGGCAGAGCTCATCTTCGACACTGACTCTACAATGGATGCATATTTAATGATGAGTAACGCTATTCATCCCCACTGGGAATGAAAACACAGTCAATGCGACATTAAATGATAGGTGAAATTAAATAAACCATTTAATTTCACATTTCATTTAACCTATCATTTAAAGCCACATAGACTGTATTTGCATCCCCACTGGAGATAAATAACATTACTCTTTAATGATAGATACACATCGAATGAAGGGGGCTGCTACCACTATCAATGATGTTCATTGGCCTTTGTGTTAAAAGTCAAATTTGGATGTACCTTTCGTCTAGATAGTCGATTGGGACTTACCGTAAAACCTCTATAAAAGGGTCGAGAAAAATTATTAATTTATAGAGTATTTTATATTTTTATGACTTGTATTATATTTTACCACAATACATGTAGGAAGTAAAAACAAAAAAAAGAAAAATTTGAATGTGATGAAACTCAGCATTTAATCTATAAGCATACAATAAGGCACACAACTAGGAGCAAGATATCCTGAAAAATGAACATATAGAATGCTATCAATGCAGCTTGGAACATTGATGTGTACAAATATTGCAAATTGTTTTCGACACTACAAAATTCGATCAGATGAAGCTATTAATGTTGTACCAAAAGTAAGTGAAGATGAAAAAAAATCAATGGATTGCTTGTATTTCTGGTCTACTATAAAAATGTGATGTATGTTGAGTACATTTTAAATTAGAGAACAATACATTTTTAAGGTATTTACTTTACACAATTTCAAAAATACAAAAACAAGTTTCAAAATTCACAAATTAGGTTTTTTTAATTTTTTATTTATGAAATAATGAATTATTAAATCAATTTATTATTAAATATTTAATTCTAATATAATATAATTACCCCACCCCACCTCCACCACCCCTACCGCTCCGGGGACTATTTCGGCTACTGTTTCGATCACAACTCATCTCCGGCGACCCTTCCGACTTCAGCGAAAATTTTTAGATCACAATTCAAAATTTTCATAAGTCACAATTTGTTTATCGGTCACAATTTAAAAATTTAAAATTCACAATTTGTTCATCAGTCACAGATCATAAAATTTATAAGTCACAATACTTATTTATAGTCACAAACATTACATTAATTGAACATAAATTATATTTAGGTCACAATTTATCAAATTATTGATCACGGATTAATAATTTTTAGATCACACATCATGTGTTGGTCACATTTTATCTAATTCATTGGTCACATATCGTTTATTAGTCGCCAACCAACCAAATTAGTGGTCACAAACATCCAAATTATTTGTGACCACTACCAAAATCATTTGTGACCACCACCGCCTCCTCCAGCGGCACCATCAACATCTCAAAACCAACACCATACCCTCTCCAACACACAGAGCCACTGTCAAACACCACCACCACACAGAGCCACCGTCAAACACCACCCATCGCCAGCACGCACACCCACAATACCCAACCCACAACCTCACCAACATCTCACCATTACCAATGCCTCACCATCGCCAGATCCGCCGACATCCACCACCACAACCTGCCTCCAATCACAACCATCACCACTGCCTGGCCACTACACATCACAACCACCACCACCCAATTACAAACACCACCAGAATTAGCTAACCACCATAAACCCGAAATCAAAATCCAAGGTCGAGAGAAATTCAGATCCAGATCCATATCTGTTGAGGAGAGGAAGAGGGAGATAAAGATAGAGAAATTTAGATTCGGTGAAATCCAGATCCAGATCTGGGGCAATAATTGTACGTTTTGGTGAAAATAATTTGATTTGGTGTAGAAAACCTGGAATTTGATTCGGTGGCAATGATTTACGACGCTGTCGAAGAAGAAAGTGGTTGCTGAGGCGTCGACATCAGGTTGTTGTGGTGGAAATTGTGGTGGTGGCGGAGGGTGGTTGTGGTGGTGGGCGAAGCTGGTGTTGGTGGTGGCCTTTTTAGTGCTGTTGGGTACTGTTTTCTTCAAATGGGTCGGACGGAGAGAGTGGAGAAATGGTGAGAGACGGCGAAGGGAAGAACGGTGGTGGCGGCGGGAGGAGAGAAAACTGAGAGGAATGGAGCAATGGTGAGAGACAACGAGGGGAAGAACGGTGGTGGCAGCAGGAGGAGAGAAAACAGAAAGGAGGGAAAATTGACAAGATGAGAAAATGAATTTTAGGGATGATTAGGGTTATTTTAATTGTGATGAAAATAATATAATTAATATTTAATAAAAAAAATCTGATTTTTAAAAAGTTAAACTAGTGATCTGATTTATGAAATTGGTATTTTAAATACTGGGTGTAATTTCCTCTTTAAATTATTCTAATGAAAATGACGCAGTGATAGAATCTCTTACTAATGAAGACATTTTTAAAAGGTGACTCAACACCTATTGATATTGATAATTGTGTGTTTACCGTTTCTTTAAAAGAGACACTTCAAGCAATTGTAATATTCAATAATTACTTTGTACAAAATGAGAAAAAAATGTAGTACATACATTGCAAAAAATTAGGTATGAAGTTGAAAGTTTGATTGAAGAGCAAAAAGAAAACCAAAAACTTTGTATGCATATTTTGAAAAAGAGGCGAATGAAAATAGTATTGTCAAATTTAAAGCTTTTTAATTTATATTAATATGAGTTTTTATGAATTTAAACAATTATTATTTTATATATTCGTTAGACTTTAAAGGATCTCACAAAAAAAATAATTATCATGTGCATTTAACGAAATCCTTAATTTAGTACACTTATCCAAATTGAGATCGAAAATTTTTATTATTTAAACGAGATTAATATATCGAATATTCATCTATTTAGATTTTCATGTACCTCTTTGAATTAAAATGAGGAAAGTACTATTGGTCCCTCATTTAACATGGTCGTAATATTTGGATCTACGTGTACAGAGCCATTATAATCCTTCACATTTTCAGCGTGAGGATAAAATCTACATCGATCACAAAAATCCATATACATCTTGTATGATCCACAGTTTATAAACACTAGAAAACAATGCCAAACAAGTACTAAAATTTTTAAAATGGGTAATTCACAAATAAGCTCAAAGATGTCTGGCGCGCATATCAAAATACCATCAAAATACAGATATAAAATCCAATCATGCTATAAGTACAAAAAATTTTGATAGACAATACATGGCGTGGAATCATATGAAACGGAGAGAGAAGAAAAAGTCAACGTCTGTATGTATTCTGTCAACATTTTCTATGCTCATAGCTTTTTCCTATAAAATCTGTGCTCTTTGCCTCCAATCAAGTAAATACAGTTCAAAACTGTACAAACTTTCAGCTACAAGTAAACAAGAAGTGAAAGATTTGAAGCTGCCCAAAGCATTTCATAACAAGTGCAGTATGATGACCAGGCGTTGCAATAATCTTATACTTTGATTGTACAACACAAGCATAGGTCACATCCAACGGCACGAACAGTTTGGCTTGGCAGTCGAGAACATGAGAACTTCTCTTCGATCGAGAAAAGATGTGAAAGTCAGTCACAGCTCGTATAAAGAGTAGTAATCTTGTACAAGAAAAAAATGGGGATGCATCAAGAAACTGTTCGCCCATGACAGACTGATGCTATGTAGAGATTTTTTGACCACTTTTCCTGCAAGAAATAACTGATAACTATTGCGTACAAAATAGTGGCGAAAAGGACCAAAATGGGTTTAACAGTGATAAAAGATACAAACAATCAAACCTTAACATGCGTGCTTGGAAAAGCAGAAGTCCGAAGTGTCTCCTGTGTTTCGTCTGCATGTTTTCTTCTTGGAACACTAAGAACAAGAGCAGCTTGATCCCAAGTTGCTGCAGTTGATGTGATGCGATAACCAGCTTCCCACCTTTTATGAACACCTTCACTGGGATAAAGAAAATCCAACTCGACAACCTGAAGTTTGTGATCCAATTATTACCTTCCTTACAATTAAACGATACATGCTGGCCATGCTAGAAACATACCTGATCCGAAAAACTGGCCCCACGGGACATAACAACTGCCCACCTATTTCCTGCAGTTGCCATTGCAGTGACAAAGAATCCCTCCCTCCATTTTTTGTTGATCCACTTAAATGGAAACGAATCACTGACTTTATAGGACTGCTGCAGATACGAAGTACCTGTATTTTATGAAGTAAAAGAAAAGATTAAGTGAACCCCATATTGCATCAAAAGACGATGAAAGTGTGACACCAACCTTTCGACATAGCTACTAACGAGCTCCCATTATTAGCCCCTGCTATTGCACTGATATAATAATTTTTCTCCCACTGTTCCATGATCCATTCCTACGGCAAATTTGAAGGAAAGATATTAATTCATATGCGTGCAAGAGGCATTCCTCAGAAGGTGTGAAGTGTTCAATTTAATATGCATTATGCAGCCATGCTTGTTGGTGCCGAATTTTCGTTTTATTAAAATATATAAAATAAATAATGAGTTAAGTAGAGTACTAAAATTGGAAATGCAACATTTTTTAACATTCTAATTTATATGCTCAACAGTTTGAGTTTCTACAGGTGGACAAAATCTACAGCATGAAGTGTTATTTTTCCTTTTTGTGACAATATTGTGAAGTCATAATTTCTTTCTTCACTGAAACACGGTCAAAAGAATACAAGAGACCTTGTGAAGAAATTGCGGTGACAGTTCATACACTTGAGCACTAAAGCCTGTCCCTGCATCCATAATTAGGGCCCACAAGTTCGAAGCAGATGCCACACTGCTGATAAATAGTCCATCTTCGTTTCCTCTCTCAATATGCTGCGCTTCGGAATTTAGACGGTGTAATATCACTATAGATGAAGACCAAACACGGGATGCAACTCTATTATTATTATACTTGCAGAAAATTTTGAGAAGAAACTTAGTGTTATAAACCACACATACCTTTGCTTCATAGGGCGGTGAGCATTATACACACTAATCCACTGTGTTGCAGGCATTCCTATGCGGATTTTTTTCTTTGGTTGTTCATCGTCATCCTCGTCCATCAACATTCTTCCTCTCTTTTGTCCAACCTGATATACAAGCTTTGCAAGTGGAAAGAACACTATCAATTTTACTAAACTTTGTAGGATGGTAAAATATTCAAAGAAATGCAGAGAAAATTTTGAAGAATACCTTTTGCGCACCGTCAGTGTTGATTGGCCTGATGCTGGGATTTGGACCAATTATTCCATCAAAAAGGGAGATGTATTTCGCATAATTAGGCTCCTCATCAAATTTTAAGTTAACAACATAATCAACAAACTGTCGGAAAGGTGCAGGGCAGAAGCAACATAGGGACTCTGGAGAAGTTGCCACCTTCTTTTTGCAGACAAGGAAGCCTTTATTGTCACCCTAAGTGAATCATCACATTAGCATTCCTAAATAATCATTCATAAGGAAAAACCATATTCCAGATCTGCAAATTAGCTACCTGAAACCCTTGCCAAGGGAGTCGACCACGGAGAAGAAAAATCATTGTATAAGCAAGAGATTCCAAATCATCCCTACGGCTCCCAATCCTTCCAAGATGAGCATGCACACTGGCATAACGTACAGTTCCCCTGCAGCACCAGCATTCTCAAGCGTCAAATAAAAGCAATGAAGAACAGATCGTCGCCAGATGTAGTGCAGGAAATCGTGTATATGGAAAGAGAATAAAATCTTTCTATATTGGTGTAAATTGATAGATTATAGGCTATAACTTATTTTTTCTTTGTTCTTTTCCTTTTTCAGTTCCATCAATGTATTATAAAAGGATGTATAAGCTGTAATGCCTAATTAATTGAATGAGAACATTACTCTTCTCGTTTCGTTCGTGGTATCAGAGCCTTAGGTGTCTAAACCTAGCAACCTATGGCTGAATTTCATGTCAACAGCTCACGATCAGTCAACTCCGATGCTCCTCAAACCGAAATGGAGGTTAACTCCACAATTGGTTCTCACAGTCTCGAGAACTCCTCGTTTCAGCTCAGTTGAAAAATTAAACGAAAAAAATTACCGTGAATGGACCCAATCAATAAAATTGGTGATTGATGGAAAAGGAAAACTGGGTTATCTTACCGGTGATTCGAAGAGACCAACGAAGGCTATACTACTTCAACGATGGAATTCTGAAAATTCCATGGTTATCGCGTGGCTGGTTAACTCCATGAAACCAACTATAGGGAAGGTGTTTCTCTTTCTGTCTACTGCAAAAGAAGTGTGGGAAGCGTCGCACGACACGGACTCCGACACGGAGGACTCATCCCATATTTTCGAAATCAAGACCCGTCTCCGACAAACGAAGCAAGGAACCAGAGAAGTGACCGATTACTTCATGGAGATGACCTAACTGTGGCAGGAACTTGATCTCAGCAGTGATGAAGAGTGGAAGTGTGGAGACGACAGTGTACGATACAAGAAGCAGCTTGAAACTGAACGGGTATATGAGTTCCTTGCTGGCTTAAATTGTGACCTCGACGACGTCAGAGGTTGCGTCCTTGGCAGGCGACCACTGCCGTCCCTTCGCGAGGTCTTCTTTGAAGTTCGACGGGAGGAAGCCCGCCGTTTGGTTATGCTGGAGGAGGGTAAAGGGCCCAGTGAAGTTTCGGCCCTTGTAATGAAAAGGAAGGACCTGAGAGTAGTGGACGAGTTGGGCCAACACTTAAAGGCCCAACTGAAGAAAGAAATCTGCTCAATAAGTTTTTAAGTGGGAAGGGCTTTGGGCCTAATTCCATAGGTCTGTCATCAAAAGTACCAATAAATGGGTCTGGTAAAAAACAACGTAGCCGGCTTTGGTGTGATCATTGTCGTAAGCCTGGACACAAAGAAGATGAGTGTTGGGACTTACATGGAAAACCCGCTGATTGGAAACCAAGACAAAACCCCAAAGGTCGGGGATATCAAGCTAAGGCAAAAATCAACCCTGCTCATAATGAGGGTAAGTTAGGACTTGTTAACCTTCAACTCTACCAAATTTTCACCGATCTTCAAACTTCTGGTCAGTCTCTTCCCAATGGCCCTTCGAGCTCCCTAGCTCATAAAAGTAATATTTTGACGACTTTATTTACCACGTCAAAATCTAAAACCCCATGGATTACCGACTCTGGAGCGTCCGATCATATGACAGACGCATATCATTTTTTCTCTTCATATTCAACTTGTGCGGAAAATGTTAAAGTCAAAATTGCAGATGGCTCCCTCTCATCTGTCACAGGAAAAGGGAGTATCAAAATTTCTGACTCTATCACCCTCGAATCTTCTTACATGTTCCAAAGTTATCATGCAGTCTATTATCCATTAGCAAACTAACTAAGGACTCCAATTGCCTTGCTAAATTTCTTCCGTCTAACTGTGTTTTTCAAGACCTTTCATCGGGGAAGACGATTGACAGTGCTAAAGAATGTGAGGGACACATGATGAAACTCCTAGCTGATATGAGTAAACGACATCAAATTGCTATTTGTGAGTCTGCATATGTTCCTAGGGATAGTGAAATTCTGTTAGGCATTATAGATTAGGCCACCCAAATTTTCAATATTTGAAACATGTAATCCCTTCAATATTTTCGAATAAACTTTCAATTGACTTCCAGTGTGAGAATTGTGAGCTTGCTAAACATCAACGTACTTCATATCCAAACTCTATATACAAACCATCTAAACTATTCACTATGATTCACAGTGACTTGTGGGGACCCTCTCGAACCCCCAGTCGAACACTTTCAAGATGGTTTATCACTTTTTTAGACTATCATACTCGAGTCTGTCGGGTCTTATTAAAAGAAAAATTCGAAGTTCGCTCCGTGTTTATCAACTTTCATACAATGATCAAAACACAACTTCAAACAAAAATCCAAATACTCCGTACCAATAACGGCACAGAATATATCAATGACACTACAAGACTATCTTCAAAAACATGGGATGGTCCACCAAACTTCCTGTGTCAATACCCCTCAACAAAATGGGATCGCAGAGCGCAAAAATAGGCACCTTCTAGAAGTTACTCGTGCATTAATGTTCAATACGAATGTGCCTAAACTTTTTGGGGGATGCTATCCTAACAGCCACATATCTAATCAATAGAATGCCCAGTCGTACTCTATCCTTTGACTCGCCTCTTCAGAAACTACAAAAACACTTCCCTACCACCCGCCTTCACTCCAATCTACCTCTGCGAGTGTTTGGATGCATGGCTTTTACTCATATTCACTCCCACCATCAAAGTAAACTAGAACCCCATGCGCTTAAATGTATGTTCATTGGCTATTCACCTACTCAGAAGGGATATAAATGCTATGATCCGTCAACTAAAAGAGTCTTTGTCAGCCTTGATGTCACCTTCTTTGAAAACACGTCCTACTTCAAAACACCCTCTCTTCAGGGGGGAGATTCTGAATAAAGAGAGGTTACTTGAAGAGCTCTTTAACTTTGATCTCTCACCGCCTGAACTAACCTATACTGAACATATCACATCTAATATGCCACCTACAGAAGGAAACTTGACTACAGGGGGAGATATAGGAACTCAAAGAAACAAGATGTTAGTTTACTCAAGGAGCCAAACTCAAAGTATACAGGGAATCTCACACCTGAAGCACCTAAAGAGTCAAAATTGGTGATAGGGCCGAATGAAATCCTACCCGATAACTCTGAATCTCCAAGTGATGATTTACCTATTGCTCTTAGAAAACAATCTCGGTCATGTATTCTCCATCCTATTTCTAAATTTGTGTCTTATAACACTTTAGCTACAAAATTTCATATTTTCATCACTAAACTTGACAATACAGAAATCCCAAAGAACATTCAGGAGGCCTTAGAAGTTCCCAAATGGAGAGAAACTGTTATGGAAGAAATGCGGGTGTTGAAAAAAAATAAAACCTGGGATTTGGTGGAGTTACCAAAAGGTAAAAGTCCAGTTAGTTGTAAATGGATGTTTAATGTGAAGTATAAAGCAGATGAGACGATAGAACGCTACAAAGCTCGACTGGTAGCCAAAGGGTACACACGGATGTATGGCATTGACTACTTGGAGCCATTTGCACCAGTGGAAAAATAAATATGGTTCGAGTTCTTCTATCTTTAGCAGTCAATTTGGATTGACCCCTTCACCAACTTGATATTAAGAATGCATTTTTGAATGGAGAATTGGAAGAGGAAGTCTTTATGACAGTACCACCTGGGTTCCATAATAGAGGTGGAGAAGACTGGGTATGCAAGCTCAAGAAGTCATTATATGGTCTTAAACAGTCACCAAGGGCCTGGTTTGACAGATTTGCAAAGGTATTGAGGAAACAAGGATACCAACAAGGGCAGTCAGATCACACTATGCTTTTCCGACAATCTGAGGAAGGAAA